TGTGATCCTGGTCTGTTTCACAAGTAATGGAAAAGCTGGCCTCCTCCATTTGATCTGTGACCGCTTCCAAGACTGAAACGTGCAACTGCGATCGCTCCCCTGTCATATAATCTGACTGTAAACATGCACCCATTGATGGTAGATGTCATTTTGGTCTCTGTTAAAGACGTAAGTAAGAATGGATGATGGAGTGTATCCCAGCTGTCACTGGGTGAGAGGCAACGTACACCTAAGACACTCTCCAGTTTACCACAGGGCTAACACTAACACAGAGAACCTGGTAACCATTCACACCTACAGACAGTTTAGAATCAGTAATTAACCTACAAAGATTATATTTAGGAGGAAATGAGGGTACCAAGAGAGAACACAGCAGACTCTACCCACACATTCACACCATACATTCACAAATCTGTATTTGCAACATTCACAAACCAAGCATACAAACCCAGAACCTTCTTGGTGGAGGGGACGGTACTAAACACTGAAATCTCTGTCAAACAATGTGCTGCGCTCTACTGACAGCCAGTTACAGTCACATTCACATTTGCTGCCAGTGTAAAGACACTAATTAACCCGACCAGTTACTATAAATAAGCAAACCATTATTATTAAATATGTTTATACATTTTCCATTTTTTTAGATTAATTTTTTTCCCTCTCACTCCAGTTGCTTATCCATGGTTGTGTCATTCAGGTCAGCTAGGATTATAGGAACACTGTATTTGCATCATTTTGTGCCTGGGTGATAACAAGTATCATTAAGTCAGGCGTGTCAAACATAAGGCCCGGGGGCTGGAATCAGCCCAGCAAAATCTCCTCAAAATGTAAAGGAATGCAAAAATTTTAAGTCTATTTTCATAAGTCTTACAGAAGATGAATTTTCTGTGAATTAACAAAATCTTTCTATTTTCTGTTCACAGAGTCATGCTGACATATTTCTTTATCATGTAGAAAACGAGTGCTGTTGAAGCTGCACTTCTTTTTCTTACATGAATTAAATGTTTGGTACTTAGTATCAGGATTCCTCCAGCTCTATACGAGCAGAAGCATCTCTGTAAAGTCCTGGAAATTTCTAACTTATTCCTAAATTT